TGATGGCGCCCAATTTGGGAACTGGGGCCAGCACGTGCATGTAGATTAAGTTCACGAAATTTCAGCCCTGCAGCTTTTATAGGTTTCGAGATGAAACCGCGTGACAGACGTACACAGACACACGGACACACAGACAACCCCTCGTCAATATGCGTTTTTGCATTGCATAGCTGCAAAAAAACGCATAAAAATTAAAGGGAATAGGTTACATGACTGCGTGCACATCAGACGTAGGCCAAAGAAGGATTATGAAAACAACAGTCGTCGACGGAAGGTACGGCTGATCCAAAAGAAGAGCATACGGAAGTGCTAGAGAGAACTGTTGCTACACTACTCAACAGTGTCGAAAATGGGGAAGGAAAATGGACGTCGGATAACGCATCGAACAGACATGAAAATTTTCAAATCTACACAAACCCGCTGTGTCAGGTGCTAATATTCAAGCGTCTGCAATTCGCGCCACGACGGCAGTCAATCTCTCTAGTACCCGACAACAAGGATAGTTGCACAGCTTTCCAAAAGAAACGTAAAAAAGCTCCCGGCGGTGATGGCACTGACACCTCATTCATCAGTTCTGGGGGGTATTGACTTTGAAAAGCTCTCAACATCCGGTCCAATCAGTACTTGGCTGAAGGAAATTCGGCTATTGAAAACAGTCGAAAACTGTCCCACTATAAGCGACAAGATTCGAAAAACTGCTGCCCGATTTGTTTATTCTCTCATATTTCCAAGCTATTCATGAAACTAATGACTTCTCGAAAAACGATGATCGAAAAAACATGTTGGATTCCGAAGTAGACACAACACGCTGGACCACATTTTCGCTCTAAACCAGTTGATGGAGCGTACAAGGGAATATTCACTCCTGCTTTTTCTCTTACATTAAGGAAAAGCTTCCAGTTATGCAGAGATGAATGTTGATTACAAATTTTTGTAAGTGGACGGACTGATGGAAGCCACATGGAAATTATTAAGGTAGTGATACACAGGCTTCTCGACAGATACAACACTTCTCACAGTGCATTCCATATAGCCCCGTACCGCCTAAGCTTTCACAACCTGTCCGAGATGGTGATTCAGAAATTAGACTGGAAAGATGACCTAAAAACCGATTTCGAGCAGCTAAATGAACTACGCTTCGCAGTTAGCATAGTCCTTATCACAATTTTCGTGAGATAATTAAGATGCTGCAGAAGCTCAGCATAAGGAAGTGCGTTTGAAAATTAACGCATCGTAGACGCTAGTGATGCAGAGTGCTGGAACGCTTGTGGCAAGATGGTAGAGAAATCGCGCTAAATCGTAAGAAGCTAACATATACGTCACGTCGCATTGCTAACATTCTGTTCATATCGCTACTTCCTCCTCTTGTTACCATAATAATACTTTTCAGCTATGTCGAATACGAGACGAACCAAAACTAACGGCGATGATGTTGCCCCGAACAACCACACAGGCCACAGAGCATCCATCGAGGTTCCACTTTTATATTACAATTTTTTAATCTTTTTCAACTATTCTAAATTCAATATAATTAAAAAATCTCTTCCCCATCTCCTTCCTCTCCTTCCATTCCTTTTCCTTATCTCTGAACAACATGACCGTCATAATGATGAGGTCCAATCGTGGTGTTGTGCTAAGACGTACATAAATTGATGGACCGAAACGTCTTACCTCATACCTTCTTTTTTTCCATAGTCTTTCCTGCTTTATATCTTACACGTCTTCCTTACTTTGGCATTCAAGGTCAACCTGGATGCTGCAATCGGTCTATCATTTGCATCTATCTTCGAAGGAAGTAAATATACGCCAGAATCTCCAGTCGGAGATTCTGAAGAATGTTTACTTCCTGTCTCGATTGCAGCGCATATTTCTTATTCAGAACAGAAGCAGCTTCCAGTTCCTTCACAGTCATTGCCCTCAAAATATCGATTGGAAAGACTGGGTCCACCTCTTCAGTACAACTGCGCTGAAGAGAATGGCCTATGAATGCGACACGCAAGTTGGAAAGCGAACGCTAGCACTGACGAGTAGAGCAGGTCGATGCAGTGGAAGATGTTTGGTGTGTCTTCCTGACCGCGTAAACAAACAGACTCCCCCTCAGATTAACGGCGTGCAGGACGACACTGCGAGCACGCGAAACGAGTAAAACCGGACGGGTAAGGCATATCACTCACCGCTAAGCATTGTGCGTCAGTGGACGGTATTCGCGAGAAAGTGAACAGCTTCCGGAGCGGGGAGGTGGGGCGAGGGAAAATCTTCCAGGAAACTGCGCGTATACGAGAGTGTAGACAGTAAAGGGAGGTATGCAGCCTAGGAGCGAAAGGCCTGACACAACTACATCCACCGCGCGAAAATATTCTAGTAAAATTATTAACGTGAGATACCCACACTTATTGCGCAAGCAGCCTTAGTGCTTTTAGACATCAGCTACGCATCACAAGGTTAACATGTTCACGTATGTGAATTACACACAGCATTCGACAGTCATACTGATGAAATTTAGCTGCAGCGTCCGACGGCTCCGCAAGAAGAAAAATGTTTTTAGGTGCCGATGTTATGAGTATCACACGGTCACGCACTCTGGTAGGATTCGAAAAACTTTTTGCCGATGAGCAGAAAAAACTGAAGGAAAAAGATCAATGTTATAAGCACAATGATCGCCGGACGAAACAGCTTCGGACAAAAAGTATGCGACAGATGGACGCCAG